GTTTATAACTTACCATCAGAGAATGGACATAGACAATGGGTATAGAACATAGCACACAGTCAGTAACCAGCATCTATTTGTATTAGACAGCTTCCTCTTGGCTCTTCTTTCTCTACCTGACTAATGTGCTATCTCAGGGTTCTGTTTTTCTACTTGGTTAATGTGCTATCTCAGGGTTCTGTTTTTCTACCTGGCTAATGTGCTATCTCAGGGTTACGCTTTGCTCTCATTTTCACCCTATATACACTTCTTTGACAATATCATATATCTCCATGTTTTCACTGGTTATTCATATATCAAGAACTTGTCCGACTCAGACCTTACCCTTTAGCACTAGACGGCAAACTACCTCTTCAACAGAGCCATAAGAATTGCTCTGAATTTAACAGTCCCAAATCAAGTCGTTCTCTTTATCTTAAGCTTCTCCTTCTCCTCACAGAGAAAATTCATTCTAATTCACTACATGCTCAGTCATAAACTCTAGGGCCACACAGGCTACTTCATTCACCCCTAACTCTATCAACCAATCATCATTTTCTGTCAGTACTGCCATAACACTTTCAAAGAACAAATTTGTCCCATGTAACTGATGCATTAACGAATAATTAAGCATAATGCCACTTTTGCATTTGTTTCTGTCATGTTTTCCAATGATATACTAAATATGTCAGATGTGATAGTATATACCTCTAATCCTAGCACTTGAGAGGTGAAGGCAGGAGAATTTCAAGTGCTATGCCACCCTGGGCTACACAAAGAGATTCTAACTCACAAAAATAGGGTAGATAAAAGAAACTAAACTTGACGGAACAGAGAACTCTGTGAGATCATTTAAAATGCATGCATGCACTTCTACATCTTAATGGCCACTAAGACTACCATACATGTTATAGCCACATCCTTCTGGTTACAATTTCCTATTTGATTCAATGTTTTATCCCACCACTTCATAATAACTCACCAACTATAGCCCTTCTTATATCTATTTCTACATGCAAACTCTAGGCTTTTTATCCAAAGTAAAGTGCTATATTTATTATAGTATTTATGTATTTCTTAATCATTTAACTATGAGACTATAGTATCCTTTTTTGGGGGGTTTTCGAGAAGTTTTCTCTGTGTAGCCCTGGCTGTCCTGGAATTTACTCTGTACACCAGGCTGGTCTTGAACTCAGAGATCCACCTGCCTCTACCTCCCGAGTGCCCCATCACCTGTCAGAATTCTTTCTTTGCTATGCTACTATGGTGTTTCTGTGTGCTACACTCCCTAGGTCACTTCTCCTGCATGACTTTCCTTGGTGTAAGAGATTTTGTTGTGTGGTTTGGATTCTGAGACAAGGACTTACTCTATAACCCAGATTGGTCTTTAACTCTGAGCTCAGGCTGGCCTTGAAGTAAAGACAATTCTCCTGTCTCAGCCTTCCAAGTGCTGATATTATAGGCCTGGGTGGCCACATCCAGCTGGGCTACAGTATCAGACTGTCTCAAAACAAAACAGCAAATGAGATAAAATTTTCTTTTAGTAGCTCCTGCTTATCCTAAAAATAAGGCCCCAAATCCAAACATGGTCTCTAAGCTCCAGCCTCACCATCTACTTCACAGCATGTGGCTTTTCACTTCTCATATCCCTAGGCCTTGGCAATCACTCATTCAGTAAATAACAATTAGGTTGTTCTGTACTGTGAGCCATCCAATGTGACAGGGGTAGAACAATGAACAAGAGGCAGAAATTCTGTCTTCCTGGCTTTTATAAAAATAGCAGGCTTCTCTTCACCTCAGGCCCTCATCATATGCTGCTTCCTAAGTTTGGCCAGTTCTTCCTTCAGTCTATAATTTAGGTATCTTTCCTCAGACTCTATCTCAATAAACCCAGTTCTTTATTATATGATCTACAACTTTGAACTATTCTGAACAAGTTATTGAATAGAAGTCACATGATCTTTAACAGTCACCTTTTCTGCTATATTCCTAGAACCTAACACAGAACCTGGCACACACAAGGTGTTCCAGAATGTGTGCCTACAGATGAGATAATATTATGTCTTTGTCCTTTATGGATATATATACATATATATACATATATATACATATATATATACACACACACACACACACACACACACATACACACACACACACATTCATGTCTATACATATTTTCAAGTATTTCTGGAGATGACTGTTTATGTGAGTATGCATGTACACATGCATGTGCATACACGTGAACACACACACACACACACACACACACACACACACACGTATTTTCCTTATTCCCTGGTAACATCTGTATCTCCTGGAAAGAACTGGGAGCAGGACTTCAAGTTTTTTTTAAGTTGACAGCTCAATAAAAATCTAAGCTCATTCAACAACATCCCAAATGTCAGCCAACAGTGACTTTTGCCACTCTGCTACAGGGGAAGTAAGTAGAGGTAGGAGATGTCAGAAATACAGCTGTTGAAGTTATTCTTTTCGAGGCAGCCCACAGTTTCTAAAGAGAGGGGAACTGAAAAGACAGTATTTCAGGTCTTCTCAGATTAGAGGCCTTAGGAAAGTAAGATGCTGAGTTCATATCTAGTGACTAACATAGTCACACACCTGGAACAATGTAGCTGGGGGCTGGAGAGGAAAGACCCTTGTTTTTCTCAGGCCTGCATGGACTACCTCATAAGAAGAAAACACAGGGTCAACTGGGAATAGAGTCCTCAGTTTCCCTTTATACCCATTCCTTCCTTCAATATCTTGGCATCTCAGTGGAGAACTGACTGAAGAGTCTCAAGATAGCCTGAAGCACCAAGGTGACCCTAGTGTTACCATATGGGTCAGCTGCTCTCCTGCCCTTCTGCCTAGGAACCTAAAGGCAGAGAGCTACCACACACCAAAAAGTCTAGTGAACTTCAGAGTAATTGTTCATGGTCAGTGCCTGCCTCGCCTGGCCGGGCATTCACATTGCATTTGTTGAGACCAGCAAGCAGACTCAGATGAGCTCTGACAGCTGGCACACTGTTTTCCTGGACAGCATGTCTGTCTACACAGGCATGCCTAGTTTCACTCAGGAGGGTCTCTATGAAGCTAGTTCTCAGTGAGGAGGTGGCCAGCAAGTATACACACTCTGAGTCTAACTGACCCCAGTCCAGCCACTGAGGACACAGGCAAGAACCAGGCTCTGTCTCTGTACTCCAGATCCACTGGAGTAACAACTTGGACCTATTTACAACTGAGTTAACTGATATCTCCAGTCACAGCAAGAGAAGCTTAGAAGAAGAGATGTCTGAACCACATCTTCAAGGGGCAGACATATGCCTGATGATGATGACAAGGGGGGCATTTCACACAGGGAGCCAGCCAGATCAAGACTCAAAGGCAGGACAGAGCCTAGCTTCTTCAGCCAAAGATAAAAAGTAGTGTCAGAGCGGAAAAGACCATACTAGGAAAGCAAGACACAACATGGAACCAAGTCCAAGGTCGTGTTGGTGCGGAGCAAATACTTACAAAATTAGTCGCCCCACTATTCTTCCATGTTAGCTTCATCCACACACCCCCAAAGCAGTCTGCTCTTTCTGCCTCCAAGGCAGTCTCCTCCCTGCACACCGCCTTGTTTAATACCCAGTATGAAACCCGCATCTTCACAGTACCTACTGTGACCCCTCAGCAGCCTCCTCTAAGACTACAGCTGTGGTCTCCTTTCTTCTAGATTCCTAGAGTTACTAAGCTGACTGGTAGCATCAAGTAGACCCTGAGGCTACTCCAGGGCTATTTTTCTCTATCTTTCTTCTAATAACCTGGGCCTCCTGGAGTAATAACTCCTCTAGAGGAAGGAAGAAAGAAGCCATTCCTATGTTACCTCTTCTGCTTATCTAGGAGCCCTGTATATGCCAGGGAAGGCTGGTTTTCTGGGTGACTCATTCTCTATCAGGGAACTACCCTAGTTATGCAAGGTCCTTTTGAGGCCCACAGTCCCAGGCTAACTCTCTAGGTCTACAATGTTGTATAAGTGCCAAGATCCACCTTCATGTTCCAAAGGTTCTAGCTTCCACTGTCCTCTCCTACATGAACAAGGCTCTGCTAGGGTCAGGGGAAACCAAAATCGTCTTAGGCAACCCCTCTTCCTAACTAGAAGCACAGAGACCACATTCATGAGTATATATATAGACTGCTATAGCAGGTGGTTATGATGCTAAGATACTGTTTCCCAACTGGTTATTGATCAATTAATAAAGATGCCAGGAGACAATTGCTGGGTGGAAGGAAAGAGTCAGGACTTCTGAGTCACTGCAGGAGGCCAAGGGAAGCAGGAAGAGAAAGGGAGACTTCACCATGCTTTGGAGGGAGAAAAGGTGACCAGCCATGTGAGAGCTCAGGCAGAGCGGCCATAGGCTACTGCCCCAGGCAGGAGATTAGAAACCCAACTAAGCAGAGGGCAGTTTTGGGTTGCTGATCAGGAGAAGGTAACTGAGCAACTAAAGTTGAGGGCAGATTTAAGGTGCTGAGCCAGGAGTGAAAAGAAAGGAGGGAGATAGCTGAGGAAGGCTTAGAAGAGCCTGGTAATTGAGCCAATAAGGCAGGTTGAAAAATAAGTGTGTGTGTGTGTGTGTGTGTGTGTGTGTGTGTGTCTTTCATCCACGGATCTGAGGGAACCTGGGCAGAGCTGGCAGCAAGGTCTGCCCAGAGCTTAAAGCAGGGTAGCACACTATACACAACACACTGCCTTCCAAAAGGCTCAACTAGGACCAGATTTCTCCTAGTGACAACACAACTCAGCCCAGAGATTTAGAAGAAAAAAGCCCCTATGTATGTTTGGAAGATACCAATAGTACTCCCCCCAGCAGCCTGACCCTCAAGTAACTCCCCTCCCCAGAAATATCATTGGTTCAGTACATATTACCCAGGGAAGAGAAAGAGGGATACAGAGAAAAGAAGCAAAAGACACAAGAGTTGGAGGAGGGGAGGTGTGTGAAGGACAGGAGAACCAAAGGCCTTGGGTGGAGCTCAGATGGTACCTTTTTTAGATTAATCCACTGCTTGAAGTAATCCGCCACTGGCAAGCCTAAATAATGGCACTGGCCTGGAAGCCTACAAGAAAGAGGAGAGAGAACAAGTTAGAAACTCGCATGCCCCAAAATGTGGAGTCTTAAACTACAAAGAAAAAAAAAAAAAAGTCTACAGAACAGAGAGACCACAAGGATCAACAAACTAGCAGGCAGCCCATCTAAGGAAAATATCCCACCTCCGGCACCATGGATACTGGACTTAGAGCCATGCCTCAGAATCAAATGAGTTTCAAGAAATATTACATAGAAGAATAACATCAGCTGCTCCTATTTCCTAATTTGCAAGTTATATTTTTTAACACATTAAGGTCTTTACTTATATCTGTCCTCAAACTGATCCTGTGAAGTAGGTACTGCTGTCTATTGTGGTCTCCCTGAGGCCCCACGGGTGTTTTAGATTTTTTTTTTTTTAAATATGTGCGAGTGTTGTGCTTCTATATATGTCTATGTACCACACGTGTGCCTGGTGGAGTGCATCAGATCCCCTGGAACTGGAGTTACAGATGTTTGTTAGCTGCTACATGGATGCTGGTTATTGAACCTGCATCCTCTGCAAGAGCAACAAGTGCTCTTAATCACTGAGCTATCCCTCTAATCCCTGTTTGTTTGCTTGCTTGTTTGAGATAAGATCTCACTATGTAGTACTGGCTGGCCTAGAACTCACTATATATACCATGCTAGCTTCAAACTCAGAGATCTATCTGCATCTGCTCAATACTGGGATAAAAGGTGTATGCCACAATACCCAGCTCCTCTGGTTGTTTGCTTTGTTTTTTTTTTTTTGTTTGTTTTGTTTTTTTATTTTTGAGACAGGGTCCCATGTAACCCTTGACTCCATCTCCCAAAAACTGGAGCTAGAAATTTGTGCCATCCACTTCATTTTAGGCAGTGTTGGGGGTTGGACCCAGAGTATCAGTTGTTCTAGCTAAGCACTCTACCAACTCTACCATTCTCAGTTCTCTAGAAGAGCAGCAAGTAAAGAGCCTCAGGAATGTGTCAGTAACAGATAACTGACTAACGAGTGCCCAAGAATGAAAAGTCTGTCTTCAGAAATTACAGAAAACATTAAATGATACATGGTAGCCTGTGCCTTTACCCCCAGCACTAGAGAGGCAGAGAGGCAGTTTGGATCTCTGAGTTTGAGCTAGCCTGGTGTGCAAAGTGAGTTCCAGGGCAGCCAGGGCTACATAATGGAGAGATCCTGCCTCAAACAAACAAAGAACAGAAGTTATAGACACTAATATGTCCACTTCTTCCTTGTAGAACCTTGCTAAGATCCAAGAGCTCAGAAAGCTTCCCACCTGCTACCCATCTCCAGGCCAAAGGCTCTCGAGTCTCTGCATGGTTCCTTCTAAGAAGGCAGCACTTCATGAGTCAAGACCCTCTCACCTCAGCAGCCCTTTTCAGGAGAGCAAGCACCTGGGATCACATGTGCCCCTTTTGATCCCTCTATCTATTTCTTGTGGTCAGCCTAAATTCTGGAAGCATGTGTTGCTTTTCTGTAAGATGTAGAGCTAATTTTATTCTTTTTTTTAAGCTTAAAAATCAAGTTATTAGTGTTAAATGTCACTGAGTGGCCAAACAAGATGAGAGGTGAGAGAACCCAATGAAGGACCAAGTGACCTTGGTGAGTGGAGTGTGAATGTCAGCAGACTAGGTAAGGAAGGACAGAGGGAAGAAGAGCCACTGAGAGACAAGGGAATAGAGAACATAAGTATAGCCTCTTTGTCTTAGGAACTTTGGCTATGAGAATGCAGTTGAAATGACAAGTTCACCTCAGAAAGTTGAAGAGAAATCCAGCCTTCCTTTCATCACCCTTCAAATAGTTGACAGATACTAATAGGAAACTGACCTCTGGGTTTCAGGAAGTAAACTAAGAATTTACTTTTACAAGATACACAATATCTTTCTTTTCTTTTGAGACTGGGTCTCTCTACACAGCCTCTGCTATCCTAGAACTCACTTTGTAGACCAGGCTGGCCTTGGACTCACAGAGATCCACTTGCCTCTGCCTCCTGACTGCTAGAATTCAAGGCATGGGCCATCACACTCAGCTATGATATCTTTCTTGAAAGGCAGGTTCCTTTCAAATAGGTGGCATGGCAACATTATCTATAACTTGCTAGCGTTCTGGAAGAGAATTTCTGGCAAATGCCAAAAGTATGAAGAAGCATCCAGAGATGGTAAGCCCACATAGGGCCAAGAACTAAGGATTAGAAACCATCAAACAAGGCTTCTAAATCAAGTCACCTAAGAAACAAACTATAACTGAACTTTCTGAATCGTATTATTTCCTTCTCTTTCTTTTATGTTCCTTAACCTTTGTGTCTTGGAAACTAATTCCTAAGCTCAGTATTTCAGAAAAAAAAAAAAATCACACTGAGTTCTGGGTATAAAGAGACCACCAGAAGCAAGAGGAACACAGGGGGCCTGGTCAGAAAAGGGCAGGCAACCCCTGTCTTATTTTCCTGTAGCTAACCTCACCCACCTCCTGATGACTTTACTTGACATAGGTCAGGAGTCCTGATGGTTCTGGCTAGTTGTGGAGAAAAAGGGATTCCCCTTTCTGTTGGATTTCAGTGGTACATGACAGCTATAGATATCATCCCTGGTTAGGAAGGGTCTAGCTCAGTGGGATCCTGGCTGCTCCTCTCAAAGAATCTATACAGCAGGATCCACAGTGAGAACAACCAGAAAGGAAGAGCGTCTAAACAGTCATTCGTATCTGAACATGGCCCAGCAGGAATCCTGAGTGCCTCTCTTTGTTCTATAATCTGACTGAAGTATGGAGGGGGAGATACCAATCTTATTCAGGAGCTCCATGCATGAAAATTTGAAGATTCAAGGAGAAGAATAGGGTTGCTACATGTTCCTCTGAATGTTCCAGCCCTGTGTCTCCAAGCATATGCAGCATAAATACAGCAGGGTCCAAACTCATCTTCATGAGCAGCAGAGCCAGAGCTAGAACTTGAACATTCAGGTGTCTCACGGGAAGATAGCTATACATCTCTATCACATAATCCTACCTCAGAATAGAGCACACAAGGTGGGTTAGAGTGGTCACCATCACTTACACAAGTGAGGAAACAGACTCAGTGAAGAAAAAGGATTTGTTCAATCATGCAACAAGCCAAGAACAGAACCAGAAATGGACTCTGGGGTTTCTGAATGACAAGTGACAATTGCACATATTCAACTAGAGACCTTGACTCATTCCAGAAAAGGCAAAGCCTGGAAGCTGGTGGAGGTAGGTAGGATGGAGTTTACTACTCAAGGTTACATTTGTTTGTTTGTTTGTTTGTTTACTCAATATTTTTAGGCATACAAGGCTAAGGTCAGCAGATACCAGGAGATACATTGTTCGACTACTTGGCAAAGAAAAGGGCAAAGGTTCCTGGCACAAAGGGTAAAAATGCTGAGTTTCTACCAGATACTGATCCCAAGTTAAAGAGCCACTGGCAGTGGGCCCTGAACTAGCCTGAGGGCATAAACGTGCAGGCAAGTTTATGGTGCCCAGGTCTCTATGCAGCTGGATTCACTGGGCACAAACCTCCCCAACTGCCCAAACATCATCTGGCCATGCTTATTACTGTTGCCCAATGAAATTTTATGCACCAAGTCCACAGGTGTGATTTCCCCTTCTTTATGAGGGGTCGGAATGACATCACTGATGGCCAATAGAAAAAACCCAATTATGTCCAGGCCATAAAAAAAATGGGATTTTCCCCCTCCAAATCAAAACTTCCTTCAGTTTCATGAATACAAGGGGCCCCTTTTAAGGACACCCCTCACTCCCACACATGCACGGCAGTAATGCCTTTGGGCTCTAAAGGAAGGTACATGCTCACTCTTCAAATGGTATGACCCTAGAGGCAGAAGGGCCCTACTTTGGCATTTACCATGGTCTTGCTCTGATCATATTGGCCCATTCAAGTCATCGGAGCCTCAAACCTATCATCAGATGTTTCCCAGGATCCTTGCTTCTGATTGGCAGAAGTTAGAAAAGATGAGGTACTTCTTAAGTTTCCTGCTGATCTTTTAACAAAATGAGAGCTTCTACTTGGAAAGAAGAGAACAATACAGAAGGATAGCACTGTAGAAAATGTCTCTCCCCACAGACAGACAACAAAGCAAAGGGAGCCCCACCTCCCCACCCCAGCCCTCACTCAGGCCTACCACCTGCAACTGAACCGCTCTGGTTTGGCTCAGACAGCCTTGATAGCAAACAGGTGTGGCTAGCTTGGCGCCAGCCAAAGCAGGGAGTAGCTCATTAAGGGAGCCCCCATACCCCACCCCTTGCTAATGGGTATGGCCAAGGTGGAACCATTGTAAGTAGGAGCTCAACTTTGAAGATTAGGTGAACAGAGAGTATGGGGGACCATTGTTAGGTTTGAGTCAAGGAGACAATAGTGGTTTGACAGAGTCCAAAAGGTAAGTCCAGCAAGAGAGCAGACACCTGTGCAGAGAAAGGTTGAGGACATTATTCCTTAAATGCTTTTCTCTCTTCAAATTTTAACCAATAAACTCGCCTAGGGAGTGTGATTTAAAGAGGAGGGGACGAGCAGGCTGAAGTCATCATCTACTCCGTTTGCCTCATAAGAAAAGTCATGGCATCTGGATCTCAGAGCTGCTTGTCAGACCCAGTGGTTAACAGCACTGAAATGCACACACATCGGTCCTCTGTAGAAACCACTGTGTTCCTGGGACATGTAGGCAAGGAATGTCTCAAATCATCAGTGGACCATGAAGGCAAAGAGGCCCAGCCATCAAAAGAAGTGGGTCAGAAGAAGCCAGAGCAAAGACCCTGCAAACGGACCCCTCTGAGGTACACACAGCTTGTTTCCATGCAGCCTCCTCATTTGCCCATAAAACAGTCTCAGAGAGTTGTCACCAGCTATCCTCCGTTTTAGAACTGCCACAATTCTCTATGCTACTCTGTTAGGAAAGAGGCTGAGCCTCAGGAAGGACACCACACCCCTGGAGCCCAGACTAGTGTATCACCTAGTCAGAGTGCCACAGTCT